ACCTGAGCTCCACATGGAGAGGTCCTCTAACTGTCGTTCGACTTGCTGGCACTGCTATGGCATATCTGCTCGAAGGTATACTCCTACCGAATGATTACGGTGGGAAACTACGTGTTTCGGACGACGGTAACTCTATAGAGAATGGTCCGGAGTATTCTAAGCTGGTCTATGCTTCTCTCAAGAACTTGGTACCGGCTAGAGCCTTACAATCTCTCATCTATGACCACTATGAAAAGGGTACTAGAGTCTATCAGGATACCAACGGTGACTTTGTGACCATGCCTGCTAGTACTGATGGCACTGATCAGTCTAAAATCACCCTACGCCGAGCCAAACAGCTAGTTGCTGGTAAGTTCTCATCTAGCTCTAATGACCTCGTTCGGGAAGATTGTCCACCACTTCCGCATAGTGAAGAACGCCCACTGTCTCCGAGGTCTAATGGTTCGGCCGGTTCTATCGATTGTCAGGATTCAACAGCAGTCGAAGCCTCTAGTTCGGTGCAGCCACCAGATTAAGTATCTATGATGATAAGTATCTATGGGGATAAGTAAGTATCTATGATGATTAAGTATCTATGATGATTAAGTATCTATGATGATTAAGTATCTATTTTATTTGATTTAGCATATTAGATTATGTTTCTAGATATTGCTATTCGAACAGCCTTCTAGTCTATCTTGTTAGTTAATTAAGATATTCTAATGTGTTAAATGAATCTACTAGAAATATCTAGTATTCATTTGCGGGGTATGTGCTGTCCCATCGTGGCAGCGCGACAAAGATCTCGCTCGCCTCGTATTCTATTGTTGAACTATAATATTATTATTCTCGCTCGGATGCATCTATCTAACGGTTTTGGATACTAGAAACGGTTAGACCCGTCTCTGGTTTTCTGTAAGCTACTTTAAGAAAGCTAGTATTCTAGTTGGTAATTGTTAGACTGGACTGAGTCCAGTGACTGATTGTGTGATCTGCTACCTCATCCTAACTCTAGTTCTACTTGAGTTAACCAGTCCTCACTAGTATCGCATCGTAATCTCTATTGCCTCACCTGATCGTGTTACAAGCTACACGGGATGTTACTTAGATCTGGAATGAAATTGTCTAACCGTGATCGCTGTGCATTTCCTCATGATTCAACAGGTTTAACTCCCTCTACACCTCCGTGGAACGACGCGACTGAACCACCAAGAAGTACATCTACTTAGAGACCACTACTGATTCTTCTAGTTCTGCTCTAAGTCGTCCCGTACAACTTAAACGTGC